GCTTTTGCAATACACTAGCTGAGAAGTAAAATAGTGCCTAATTCATAAAACCAGAAAAATTGCTCGGAGCAAACTGATAAGTTTTAACTCCTGAGCATGAATCAGAATCAATAAAGCATTAAACTAAATGAACGAATCGTAAAGAGGCTGGTTTTGCCACCAACGAAACCGAACCACTGACCTTCAACACCGCAGTATCTTCTAATAATTTGATACAGTATTTCTGACTAACAAAAATCCGTCTTACAAAATTCATTGAAATGCGGTAAAACAACGCACCAGAAACTATTGTCGATGCAGTTGTCGCAAAACTTAACTGGAAAAGAAAATTAGCATATGCCCAGCCTTCATAGCGTGGCGAATCAACGTTTCTGAAAGTTGCAAGAATTTTCAAATCCGCTACGAGCCGTAATAAAGCAAAAGTCATAATTATGAATAATGTGTTGGTGTTACTTTTTTCTCGAATTGTCGATCTGCACATGCACCTCTGCACACCGGAGTTTTACACTGGCAGTGGGTTCCAGAATTTTTAAAAAATATCATTTAGCAGTTCAGCTCACCTCACCGGATTAAAAAAAAATTTGCCCCATCCAACGATAGCATTGCTGTACACGCCATCACCAAAACTAAGCCCGTAGCCAAATGACCAATAAGTTAGGCCGCCAAATACAACATCAACAACATTTTTAACCATAATATTTACTTCGTCCTTCGCGGCAACACTACCGCTTTCCAGTAAGCCAAAACCTGAAAGCAACTGTGTCTCACTTTTTCCTTGATTATGAAAAAACCTGGAGCAAAGGATGCTTGGTTTATTCCTTTGTGATCATATCAACAATCAGACTCTCCGTCAGATGCGCGGTGTCCCGGATGCCAGAAAGTAATATCCGATAGGCAAGGCATGCTACTTCTCTTGCCGATAAGTAGAGCATTTTGTTCCTTTTGTGGATAACCTGTGGAAGTTCTGCAGCAGTGAGCGATACTCGTGAGAAAATAAACGATCACTCAGGAGGCTTCTGTAAAGGTGGCACACATACATCGAATAGACTATGAGTAATAACGGAAGTATGCAGATTAGGAACGGAAATTCTGGCGCAACTTCATCCCGCGTATGGGAAAATTATAGTAACACCACTAATGCAGGACACTCATATTGATACTAAGGCGGATTTGGTATTCTCGATTTAAAAAAGATTATCGATGCTGTCTAAGAGTTCGAAAACCAGCAATGCCTGGTTAACTTTCAGAGAACAATGAAGCATTCGCTGCAGAAGTTCCGAAGCCTTTAAAAGGTGAAGGGTCAGTTGTTGAAACCGGTGATTATTCATGTTCGAAACAGTTCAGACAAGGCAAATAAAAAATCCATCAAGGGTGAAAAAAAGGCATTTCGGTCAAAAATCGATTCAAGTTCAACTACCGCGATACCCTCGCTCTCGACGATTACCTTTTTCAGAGGTGGCTTAGAAGCGAGTTTCAAGTTCCCACGCACCGAATAAATTTGTTACGGAAAAAAATCAATGAACACAGGACTGAGGATTCGACCTCAGTTAGTTTGCCTAACCGAGAGTCGAATCCTCAGTCTTTGTTGTGAGGGTACAGCTTGGGAACCAGAAAAGCTCGGAGGTTGAAATTTTAAAGGGATGTTCCCATCCCACGCACAACTTAAAGATTTCAAACTCAGCCCCAAGTGCGCTTCCTGGTCATGTTCGGTCCTTTGAATTAAGCCCTCAAACTAGTAAATTCTTTGCTTTTTAAAAGTTTTTGAAGAAAAGATTACCGGAATGCATTGTAAATATGATAAAGCTACTCGTGATGATCCATACTGCGTCATCCTGATATAACTTTTCAATTTCAGCGTTATACGGTAGCTTCGTGCGCAACGAATAGTGCTCTGTCTCTGGAATTTTTGCATAATTTTAATTACAATATTTGTTAAAGCAAATAATGGAGCAAATTACGAGCCTTTTTTTAGTGAATTATAACAAAATACATTCATAAATCCCCTACTTATTCGTTCTCTTTAAGAAGCAGAAGTGCACGGGAGTATTTTAAGTAGCAGCAGGTGCGAACAGCAACCACTCGCTGGCAGGGCTTACAATGGCTGGATTGCTTAAAAACAATTTACGGTCGAAATGAATGAACGAAATGTAGAGAGGCTGATTGTCCTAGTCGAACCCTAGATCAACTGCCCTCTCCCACTAATGCGTTTTAAAAAAGTGTAGCTTAAATTTCCTACGTCATGTTAAAAAATTGAAAAATTAGGAAAAAAAATTACAGAAAAAAAAGCCTTTTTTTAATATATCTTTTCTTTATTCTTTTTTAACTGTAAATAAGATGCTGCATAATTGTTTATATTTTCGATTTTTTTCAGCCCACATCGCTTGCACCAAAAGTTTTAAAAGCATATTCTTTTTGGGAAAACACTGAGCAAATACTTCCTCATCATTAGAGCATTTAAGAAAATTCGTGCGCCAAAGTGCTTATGGAGTAGTGCAAATCCATTAAATTTCAACTACTTCATGTAGTAAATAGTGGAAATCTAGTACAAAATTTAATATGTAAGAACTTTGGAATTTTTAGGAGGGAATGTGCTAATTACTCTTACTTTCTCCTTCTTCACCCCCCCTCCCCCACCCCCTTCCGATTTCTTTTCCTGAAACTGTTCAAATTCTGGATTAGATTTTGTGAGCTTTGAGTTGAGCTCAGGATTCTGGACATTCCAGTTTTTATGCGTTTTTGCATATATGCAAATTGCAAAAACGCATATTGGGAAGAGGCTGTGT